AATACTATGAGCTAGTCTGACTAAATAAGTTACCACATCGAGATGTGTCAACGGGTCTACTAAGTTGAGCACACAGGAGTAATCTAAATCTTGGAGAACTTGGTAGCCCAATTATACAAAATATTAGCCGAGCAGAGGGCGATGATGTCTTCTTTAACTATGAACCGGCTCACTTGAATTGCTTGTTTGGGAGCGTGGCCTCCCAGCGACCCAGGTGCGAGGTGGGGTGACGGGCCCTGATAAAGGTAGACTAGTGTCTAGACGTCTGGTAGTAGTATTCTTTATTACATAGACATGAATGAGTAGAATAGATGATAATGGAGTAGGCCGAATCTCTTCCTAGAGATTTTACCGTGACAAAATAAAATACATTATTATGAATAAGGAATAACGAATTAATGTACATATAAGTACAGTATTAATGAGTACAAATGTTGATGTCTGAGACTAGCTGCCTCCCCACCCCCCAACACATCCCCTCACCACTGACGCCACCTTTTATTATGAATTCTTCATTTTGACTATGGAATATGATAGAGCAATGTGTTACAAACACTAAATTGGTAACATTTTCTCAGCTAATTTGGTGAAAGAAACGAGCGAGTGAAACATGGAAGCAGCAGCGTCGCCAGCTACATGTTGCCAGTCAACTGATCACTCGGGCCACACCAACCTTGTGTACATCTCTCTACTCCCCACTGACACCACCATCAATACCTACCTTCCCAGACAACTTCCACCACTGACAACAACTACCACCACTAACTCCACCTGCCCCCTGACACCAGCCCTCACCAATGACCCCAACTGCCTCCCCTGACACCATTTTATCATCCTTCAACCACTTCTCCCTGGAAACAATGGACAAACATAATAAAACACTGTATAACTGTTTACACTTTGGTGAATCATAATTGATGACAGCCACCTTCCCCAACGCTCTGTCTTGGTGACCGCTTGGATGAACAATCCTCACATAATCAAACATTTGTTTATGTCCCACTTTAGTACCGAACTCAGTTTGTTCAAACTATCCGGAAATTCGTTGGAACGGGGTTCGATTGAGTCAGGATGCACTGTATATGTGATTGTGTGACTTTAGTTAGTTATCTCATCAGTTACCATGGCAATGTATATTTAATTATCTTTTTAGATATTTTGACAAATTCTAGTATACACCCATATATAATACAATAATGTATGGACAATTAAAGATGATAAAAATTATCATTATTTATTTGTCATATAAATTTTACAAAAATACAAATTCATTGCCATCAAAGGCAGGACCGGTGCCTCATGTCTATTAGCTTCAGACCTGATCAAGACCAGTACAAGGATACAAAATGACCTGATAATAATTCTTCACAAACTTTTCAAGTGACTTTTGCCTAGGTCATATCCAGTTGAAACCAAATTAAGACCATGGTGAAATCCCATCGAGATTATTACACTGTTGTGAATTGATTAATTCCCATGTCTTGACCAGTTTGCAATACAGGATCGGCATCTACCAGTCACAGCAGGACAGAATAGACATTACTAGCTACTACACAACATAGTACAGGAAGAAGGTGAATAGGGGCTATGTAGAGAGCACAACACTGTCACTCCGGAACCAGAGAGTTACATCGAGTCCATCTAATTACCCAAAGCTTCCTAGCATTGCGTAAATAATGAAGAACTAGGATATATATAATCACTATAATGTTGGTGCTGAATGTATTACATGAAAAAAACGTATTTTTACTATCTTATCTTGAGGTTATCTTGAGATAATTTCGGGGCTTTAATGTCCCCGCGGCCCGGTCATCGACCAGGCCTCCACCCCCAGGAAGCAGCCCGTGACAGCTGACTAACACCCAGGTACCTATTTTACTGCTAGGTAACAAGGGCATAGGGTGAAAGAAACTCTGCCCATTGTTTCTCGCCGGCGCCCGGGATCGAACCCAGGACCACAGGATCACAAGTCCAGCGTGCTGTTCGCTCGGCCGACCGGCTCTACTAGGAAATAATATAATTTTATTAACAAAATTGGGTCCATCTAATTACACAAAGCCACACCATTGTCGCCTGGATCGTTTACTTCCTGTGACTCAACCACTTTGACTGGACGGTAGAGCGACGGTCTCGCTTCATGCAGGTCAGAGTTCAATCCCCGACCGTCCAAGTGGTTGGGCACCGTTCCTTTCCTTTCCCCCATCCCTTCCCAAATCCTTATCCTGACCCCTTCCAAGTGCTATAACGTCATAATGGCTTGGCGGTTTCCACTTATAATTACAAAAAAATTGCTGTGGCATCGCCTGCCACTTAGTTTCTTCTAATTGTCATAAAATTATATTATTTCAGAGTAAAACTAACTTTTTTCATGTTCTACATTCAGCACCAACATTATAGTGAGTAAATATATCATAGTTCTTCATTACTGTACTTACATAATGCTAAGAAGCATTGGGTAATTAGATGGACCATTCCATCCTGCTGGTCGCACTGTGCCTAAGAATACCCCAACACTCCCATACACTATACAGTATAAGAATTGTTGATAGTTTCAAAGATTTCGCTATTTTTCTAAAATAATTTTTTCTTACGTGGTTTCTGTTGTGTTCGTCCCAGCACTTTCAGGTCAAAACGACAGCTCAGTAATTGTTTTATTTTAGTGCTCATCACTAATGTTTCACGTCATACTTAAGGCGAGGACCCAATCTGCTTCTTCACGTGTGACTGTTTTTGATTCTAGCTTTACTACCATATATAAACATCGCCATCCAACGCTATAGAACAATTATGATTGTTTCAACAATATTCTAAAAAATGTGAACTGGACGCAAATAACTCACTCCAAAATGCATTTACATTAAAACTCCCCAGGGCGTCACTTAAACACATGTGACTTGCCAAGTTTTTTTATGGCAGAGTAAGTGCTTGTAAAAATAATAATTATTTATATAACTGAACTATTGGGCTGGAATGAATATATATTAACTACGTAAAGAGATGGAAGGAAATATAGGAACGAGAGAGAAGGGAAGATGGAAAAAGAAAGATACGAATTGAGAAAAAGTGAGGGGGGGAAGAGGGAGGGAGGGAGCGGGAGTGAGTGTGTAATTACCCAAGTGTAGTTACAGGATGAGAGCTACGCTCGTGGTCTCCCCAGCACTCTGTCATATAACGCTTTGAAATTACCAACGATTTTGGCCTCCACCACCACCTTGCCTAACTTGTTCCAACCATCTACCACTATTTGCGATATAGAATTTTCTTATATTTCTTCGGCATCTTTGTTTAGTTAGTCTTAAAGCTATGACCTCAGGAAATCTTTCCTATCAATTATATCAATTCCTGTTACTATTTTGTATGTAGTGATCATATCACCTCTTTTTCTTCTATCTTCTAGTTTTGGTATATTTAATGCCTAACTTCTCATAGCTCTTGCCCTTTAGTTCTGGGAGCCACTTATTAGCATGTCTTTGCACCTTTTCCAGTTTGTTGATGTGCGTCTAAAGACATGGGCACCATACAACTGCTGCATATTCTAGCTTTGGCCTAATAAAAGTCATGAACAATTTCTTTAGTATTTCGCTATCCATGTATTTAAAAGCAATTCTGAAGTTAGAAAGCGTAGCATAGGCTCCTTGCACAATGCTCTTAATGTGGTCCTCAGGTGATGGAGATCTAGAGGTGGTTCTAAATAGAAAACTATCAGAATTCTTTAAAGATTTCTCACATAATTTATAGGTTGTGTGGGGTCTATGTTCTCCTATTCCACATTCCATAACATGGCATTTATTCACATTAAATTCCATTTGCCAAGTGGTGCTCCAGATACTTATTTTGTCCAGGTCTTCTTGAAGGACATTACAATCATCTAAGTTTCTTATCCTTCCTATTATCTTAGCATCCTCAGCAAACATGTTCATATAATTCTGTGTTCCATCTGGCAGATCATTTATGTAGACAATGAACATCACCGGTACAAGAACTGACCTCTGTGGTACTCCACTTGTAACATTTCTCTAGTCCAATATATTGCATCTGATTACTGCCCTCATTTTTCTATCAAAATATTTCATCCATGCTAGAAGCTTACCTGTCACCCTTCCAATATGTTCTAGTTTCCAAAACAACCTCTTATGTGGAACTCTGTCGAAAATCTTTTTAGATCCAGATAGGTGCAATCAACCCAATCATCTCTTTCCTGTAAAATCTCTGTAGCTTGTTCATAGAAACTGAGCAAATTCGATACACAGGATCTTCCAGATCGAAAAGCCACACCGTGTCTGATACTATATCATTTTTTCCAGGTGGTCTACCCATTTATTTTTAATTATTTTTTCAAATATTTTGACCATTTCACTTGTCAATGATCACAGGTCTATAATTGAGGGGTCTTCCCTGCTGCCACTTTTGTAGATTGTAACTATGTTAGCCCTTTTCCACACATCTGCTATGACTCATGTACACAGGGATGTCTGAAAAATCAGCTGAAGTGGAATGCTGAGATCAGGTGCACATTCTCTCGGAACCCATGGTGAAACTTCTTCTGGGCCAACTGCTTTGTTCTTTCCTAGCTTCAAGAGGATTTGTTTCATTTCATCTCTAGACACCTCTATGTGCTCTATGTCTGGAATTCTGGAACTCTGGAATTCTTATTGTGTCTGGTTCTCTGAAGATTTAATTTTGTACAAACACACTTTGGAACTTTTCGTTTAAGGTTTCACACATTTCCTTATTTTCCATGAATCTGTTTCCCATGTTTAACCTCTGGATATTATCCTTTACCTGCAATTTGTTGTTTATGAATTTGTAGAATAGGCCTGGTTCTGTTTTACATTTTCCCGCTATCCCTTTTTCAAAAATTTCTTTCTGCCTCTCTCCTTACTGCTGTGTGGTTGTTTCTCGCATCTTTGTATCGCTGGTATATTTGAGAGGTTTGGCCTCTGCCTAAACAGTATTGATTCCATTTTTGTGTCTTTTGGTCTCTGGTCCCCTCTTGATTTCTGTTCAACAAATCCTGTTTTCTGGTACCGCATCTCTGTTTAGGTATGAATGTTTGTGTGCTTTCATCGTATATTTTGCAAAATTTGGCATATATCTCATTTACTTTGCTACCTAGCAGCAAGTCTGTCCAATTACACTCATTAAAACAAAAATTTGAAGTTTCCCATAGTGTCCTCCCTTGAAATCAAGTTTATCAACTGTTTCAATGTCCTCATTTTCTTCTAGATGGTATCTTGTAACATGACATGATCACAGAGAGAGGGAGGGGAGAGAGAGGGAGGGGAGAGAGAGGGAGGGAGGGAGGGGGAGGGGGAGAGAGAGAGAGACTAATTGTGATTATTCCAAAAACAGTTGCTGTTGACATATAATGCCATTATATTATATAATTTAATATATATACACTCAAATAGACAACTGGTTAGTCTTTATCATAAAGTCACTTATTTGGTATTAAAGGCACATGGTAGTTCTGGTACGGGCATTGGTATGGCTGTTGACATGGTTTCAGCTAGTACTGTAGTTGCAAGTCCGTCTATGATTGGTGGGGGTAGGGGATCTGGGTACGTATTAGATGTGGTCACATCACCATTCAAACCATTAACCTTGTGGATATCACACACAATGGTTGTGACTGGTGTAGTATCCTTTGCTGAGCTTGTTCTGGTAGTCCTGAAGGGTGAGTGGCTGGAGTGAGGACTAGTGGGGTCCCAAGACTCCAGGATCTGGGCAACTTCCCGGAACCCTCCCAGAATCTTCGCACTCCCGCTACAGCTCTCTAGACCTGAAGTTGGTAGAGAATTATGACAATTATGTAAGCCAATGAGAAAAAAATTAATACCATCTCAATACAGAGTTTACTTATTTATATTTAGACTTTTGTCATAAGCAATGTTAATACTACAAATTAAAACATTAGTACTTCTATTTTTTGTGCTGTTGATGTACTAAGTTTACAGAATGATACACGAATGGTTACAAGAACATGACCTCAAATCTGCTGTTAGCCTGACTGCTAACTTCCTTAAAGCACTTTTCTAAACACCCTATTTTTCAAGCTGTGGCTTCACATATGTCATTAAGCAGTGCATTTTGATCTAAGAGCCCCATATTAAGTACCTGAAGCTAAGTGAATAAATATTAACAATTCATCATGTAGTGTAGACTGTGATCTTATGTTCACTGTTATTACAGTATCTGGCACAAACTAAGCTTCTAATGCACTGTGGTATTTATAAAAATCTTTGAAATGTTTAACATAAAAATTCTCCATTATGTTCTGGACTAGTTAGGACCAAAGATTTTTGTTGTTTTACTCTATTCTGGTTTACTGATGCTGTGTTTTGATAAACAAATTATAAAGATGTGGGAAAGACCTATGGTTATTTCATTTTTTTTTCAAGTATCAGATTTACTAGAAGACATAAGTAAGTAATTATCAAAAGAAGGCACCAAACCGGGAAGGCTATGTAGCCCCATCAAATGTGCAGAAAAATCAGAGGGCGCTAAATATCACCAAGGATGCCAATACGAGAACAAAAACGCATAAGGAGAACGCTATCAAAAGTATCCGAGTCATAGAAGACATATAAACTGCAGTATTTTTATGTTTTTTTCATTGCTATAATAAAGGAGATAAGGGCAAAATTCTCATAGTTACATCATTTTAGAGCCTGGAGATTTCTTCCCATTCTTTACCTTCCTCTGTTGTCTTCTGAATGATGCATCAGAGAGAAGGCCACCAATTAACATTCTACAGCTTCCCTTCTCTCAATATATGAAGTATTTTGTCTATAGTCATGACTGTTACCTGATTTACCCCAAGGACCATTAATCCTGGTGGCCTTGACATGGACAGAAAGCCAGCAGCTTGAAGTTCCCCCTATTTGCCTTTATCTATTCTAGGTATATTTTAAAACACTTTTTTGGCAGTTATGGCTTCAGCGGGTAGGCAGTTCTATCTGTTTATTTAATAACCCTGTGGGTGAAAAAAGCATCTCCAGATCTCAGTCCTACACTGTGGCTTGTTAAGCTTGAAACCTTTGCTCTTTGTTTGTATTACATCTGATCATTTGTGGAGTTCGTGTAGATCTCCTTGTAAGACTTCAGTATCATTACTGTATTTCCCACTTTACCATAAATCTGTGTCATCTGCAAATTTGATGATGAGATTTGTAATATTCTCATCTATTTAGTAATGGTAATGTCTTCTCACAGATATAACATAGGATAAAAACCCACACTTTGGTATTTGTGAAAATTATTAAACCAAGTCTTTCACACAGTCCTGAGTGCTTTGTCAAGGCCTGAGTGTGTGATTAGGACGAGACTTGCATCCTTTTCCACTAATTCATCCTTATTTTCTTCAATTGGTTCATCTTTATTTTCATTGTCTCTGCTATGTTTCCCAAGTTTATCATTGCAAGTGATGCAATAAATGCAAACGAGGCCTTTACTTTATTTTTTCTCATTATGATATGCCTCACACAAGGTTTCCGAGATATTAAGACAGCATCACTCCTGGCAAGACCTGCAGGAGAAAGACTCCTATTTTCCCCTCTCCCTCCCTGTCTTTCCTTCTACACATATTTATTAGAAGTAGCGTGCCTGCAGGGAAACTTGTCAACATTCCTCCTTTCCTTTTCTCCTGCGGGACTTACAAGAAGAAAGTGATCCAGGGGAAGATCCTTCACCTTCGTAAGCGTAGTTTCTCAGGTCGTCGCCAGCTGGAGAGTTCCCGATCCCTCCTTGACAGCTTCCGTTCTTGCTACTTCTGTTCCTTTCGTCGCCTCCTGCACTCTCAGCGCGCCTGTGTCCCACATCATCTCCCGCAATAACCATCTGCACATTCCTGGTGGTTGTGGTGACGGAGATGGCGTCCACCTGCAGCACGTCCACTTCTGTGTTGGGAGATCACCTGAATTACTTAAATTATAAAGGCCATCTGTATTCATGGTTATCTTGAGGTTATCTTGAGATGATTTCAGGGCTTTTAGTGTCCCCGCGGCCCGGTCCTCGACCAGGCCTCCACCCCCAGGAAGCAGCCAGTGACAGCTGACTAACACCCAGGTACCTATTTTACTGCTAGGTAACAGGGGCATAGGGTGAAAGAAACTCTGCCCATTGTTTCTCGCCGGCACCTGGAATCGAACCCAGGCCCACAGGATCACAAGTTTCGCGTGCTGTCCGCTCGGCCGACCGGCTCCCTTGCCGGTCGTAAAATAGTAATTTTATTGACTATTTTACCTTTTATATTTTACAATTGTTTATAGGTTAAACAAAATCACATCTAAAAATTTCATTAACAGTGGCCATTTCCAAAGCAAAATAAATATTTTAATTTATAATAAAATTGTAAGAATTTAAAAACTATAGCCTTAAAGTCTTGCTATGTTTCTGTGACATTGTTCATTGTGATGGTTTGTTTCTTCAGTTTGCATACAGTAGTCTAACTTAATTTTTCCCAAATTTGAATAAGGGGAAATTATAAACAGGAGAAATAGAACTTGCTCTATTTCACTTATACAATGGTGATATTGTAAAAATAGGAAGATCAAGAAACACATTTTTTAAGTCTGGTGAATATAAATCTTTATAATTCAGCAAGGCAGACTATAGGTTCAGGTGACTATAGCACCCACAGACTCAGACCTGTTGGTGCTTATTCACACCTGTGGGTGCTCGCTCACACCTGTGGGTGCTTATTCACACCTGTGGGTGCTCGCTCAGACCTGTGGGTGCTCGCTCAGACCTGTGGGTGCTCGCTCAGACCTGTGGGTGCTCGCTCAGACCTGTGGGTGCTCGCTCAGACCTGTGGGTGCTCGCTCAGACCTGTGGGTGCTCGTTCAGACCTGTGGCTGCTCGCTCACACCTGTGGGTGCTCGCTCACACCTGTGGGTGCTCGCTCAGACCTGTGGGTGCTCGCTCACACCTGTGGGTGCTCGTTCACACCTGTGGGTGCTCGCTCACACCTTTGGGTTCTCGCTCAGACCTGTGGGTGCTCGCTCAGACCTGTGGGTGCTCGCTCAGACCTGTGGGTGCTCGCTCAGACCTGTGGGTGCTCGCTCAGACCTGTGGGTGTTCGCTCAGACCTGTGGGTGCTCGCTCAGACCAGTGGGTGCTTATTCACACCTGTGGGTGCTCGCTCACACCTGTGGGTGCTCGCTCACACCTGGGGGTGCTCGCTCAGACCAGTGGGTTCTCGCTCACACCTGTGGGGGCTCGCTCACACCTGTGGGTGCTCGCTCAGACCTGTGGGTGCTCGCTCAGACCTGTGGGTGCTCGCTCACACCTGTGGGTGCTCGCTCAGACCTGTGGGTGCTCGCTCACACCTGTGGGTGCTCGCTCAGACCTGTGGGTGCTCGCTCACACCTGTGGGTGCTTATTCAAACCTGTGGGTGCTCGCTCTGACCTGTGGGTGCTCGCTCACACCTGTGGGTGCTCGCTCACACCTGTGGGTGCTCGCTCACACCTGTAAGTGCTTATTCACACCTGTGGGTGCTCGCTCACACCTGTGGGTGCTTGCTCAGACCTGTGGGTGCTCGCTCAGACCTGTGGGTACTCGCTCACACCTGTGGGTGCTCGCTCAGACCTGTGGGTGTTCGCTCAGACCTGTGGGTGCTCGCTCAGACCAGTGGGTGCTTATTCACACCTGTGGGTGCTCGCTCACACCTGTGGGTGCTCGCTCACACCTGGGGGTGCTCGCTCAGACCAGTGGGTTCTCGCTCACACCTGTGGGGGCTCGCTCACACCTGTGGGTGCTCGCTCAGACCTGTGGGTGCTCGCTCAGACCTGTGGGTGCTCGCTCACACCTGTGGGTGCTCGCTCAGACCTGTGGGTGCTCGCTCACACCTGTGGGTGCTCGCTCAGACCTGTGGGTGCTCGCTCACACCTGTGGGTGCTAAGTCAAACCTGTGGGTGCTCGCTCTGACCTGTGGGTGCTCGCTCACACCTGTGGGTGCTCGCTCAGACCTGTGGGTGCTCGCTCACACCTGTAAGTGCTTATTCACACCTGTGGGTGCTCGCTCACACCTGTGGGTGCTTGCTCAGACCTGTGGGTGCTCGCTCAGACCTGTGGGTACTCGCTCACACCTGTGGGTGCTCTCTCAGACCTGTGGGTGCTCGCTCAGACCTGTGGGTGCTTATTCACACCTGTGGGTGCTCGTTCACACCTGTGGGTGCTCGCTCACACCGGTGGGTGCTCGCTCACACCTGTGGGTGCTCGCTCACACCTGTGGGTGCTCGCTCACACCTGTGGGTGCTCGCTCACACCTGTGGGTGCTCGCTCACAACTGTGGGTGCTCGCTCCCACCTGTGGGTGCTCGCTTAGTCTTGTGGGTGCTCGCTCACACCTGTGGGTGCTCGCTCAGAACTGTGGGTGCTCGCTCACACCTGTGGGTGCTTATTCACACCTGTGGGTGCTCGCTCAGACCTGTGGGTGCTTATTCACACCTGTGGGTGCTCGCTCAGACCTGTGGGTGCTCGCTCAGACCTGTGGGTGCTCGTTCAGACCTGTGGTTGCTCGCTCACACCTGTGGGTGCTCGCTCACACCTGTGGGTGCTCGCTCACACCTGTGGGTGCTCGCTCACACCTGTGGGTGCTCGTTCACACCTGTGGGTGCTCGTTCACACCTGTGGGTGCTCGCTCACACCTGTGGGTTCTCGCTCAGACCTGTGGGTGCTCGCTCAGACCTGTGGGTGCTCGCTCAGACCTGTGGGTGCTCGCTCAGACCTGTGGGTGTTCGCTCAGACCTGTGGGTGTTCGCTCAGACCTGTGGGTGCTCGCTCACACCTGTGGGTGCTTATTCACACCTGTGGGTGCTCGCTCACACCTGTGGGTGCTCGCTCACACCTTTGGGTGCTCGCTCAGAAAAGTGGGTTCTCGCTCACACCGTTGGGGGCTCGCTCACACCTGTGGGTGCTCGCTCAGACCTGTGGGTGCTCGCTCAGACCTGTGGGTGCTCGCTCACACCTGTGGGTGCTCGCTCACACCTGTGGGTGCTCGCTCACACCTGTGGGTGCTCGCTCACACCTGTGGGTGCTCGCTCAGACCTGTGGGTGCTCGCTCACACCTGTGGGTGCTTATTCACACCTTTGGGTGCTCGCTCAGACCTGTGGGTGCTCGCTCAGACCTGTGGGTGCTCGCTCAGACCTCTGGGTACTCGCTCACACCTGTGGGTGCTCTCTCAGACCTCTGGGTGCTCGCTCAGACCTGTGGGTGCTCGCTCAGACCTGTGGGTGCTCGCTCAGACCTGTGGGTGCTTATTCACACCTGTGGGTGCTCGCTCAGACCTGTGGGTGCTCGCTCACACCTGTGGGTGCTCGCTCACACCTGTGGGTGCTCGCTCACACCTGTGGGTGCTCGCTCACACCTGTGGGTGCTCGCTCACACCTGTGGGTGCTCGCTCACACCTGTGGGTGCTCGCTCACACCTGTGTGTGCTCTCTCACACCTGTGGGTGCTCGCTCACACCTGTGGGTGCTCGCTCACACCTGTGGGTGCTCGCTCAGACCTGTGGGTGCTTATTCACACCTGTGGGTGCTCGCTCACACCTGTGGGTGCTCGCTCACACCTGTGGGTGCTCGCTCAGACCAGTGGGTTCTCGCTCACACCTGTGGGGGCTCACTCACACCTGTGGGTGCTCGCTCAGACCAGTGGGTGCTCGCTCAGACCTGTGGGTGCTTGCTCACACCTGTGGGTGCTCGCTCAGACCTGTGGGTGCTCGCTCACACCTGTGGGTGCTCGCTCAGACCTGTGGGTGCTCGCTCACACCTGTGGGTGCTTATTCACACCTGTGGGTGCTTATTCACACCTGTGCGTGCTCGCTCAAACCTGTGGGTGCTCGCTCAGACCTGTGGGTGCTCGCTCACACCTGTGGGTGCTCGCTCAGACCTGTGGGTGCTCGCTCAGACCTGTGGGTGCTCGCTCACACCTGTGGGTGCTCGCTCAGACCAGTGGGTGCTCGCTCAGACCTGTGGGTACTCGCTCTCACCTGTGGGTGCTCTCTCAGACCTGTGGGTGCTCGCTCAGACCTGTGGGTGCTTATTCACACCTGTGGGTGCTCGCTCACACCTGTGGGTGCTCGCTCACACCTGTGGGTGCTCGCCCACACCTGTGGGTGCTCGCTCACACCTGTGGGTGCTCGCTCACACCTGTGGGTGCTCGCTCACACCTGTGGGTGCTCGCTCACACCTGTGGGTGCTCGCTCACACCTGTGGGTGCTCGCTCCCACCTGTGGGTGCTCGCTCAGACCTGTGGGGGCTCGCTCACACCTGTGGGTGCTCGCTCACACCTGTGGGTGCTTATTCACACCTGTGGGTGCTCGCTCAGACCTGTGGGTGCTCGCTCAGACCTGTGGGTGCTCGCTCAGACCTGTGGGTGCTCGCTCAGACCTGTGGGTGCTCGTTCAGACCTGTGGTTGCTCGCTCACACCTGTGGGTGCTCGCTCACACCTGTGGGTGCTCGCTCACACCTGTGGGTGCTCGCTCACACCTGTGGGTGCTCGTTCACACCTGTGCGTGCTCGCTCACACCTGTGGGTTCTCGCTCAGACCTGTGGGTGCTCGCTCAGACCTGTGGGTGCTCGCTCAGACCTGTGGGTGCTCGCTCAGACCTGTGGGTGCTCGCTCAGACCTGTGGGTGCTCGCTCAGACCTGTGGGTGCTCGCTCAGACCTGTGGGTGCTCGCTCAGACCTATGGGTGCTCGCTCAGACCTGTGGGTGCTTGTTCAGACCTGTGGGTGCTTGTTCAGACCTGTGGGTGCTTGTTCAGACCTGTGGGTGCTTATGAAGCAATATTTTATCTTTACTATCGTTGTCGCCGTTTGCATATAGACTGGCACTGGCATCAAGGAGCGTAGAGAGAGGGATACCTCGTGCATGCTTCCCGGTCCTTCACCCACGC